TTCACTTGCAGACAGAGAAGTCTCAGGATTAATATCTTTCATTCTTTCTTTCTTTCTTTTTTTGTGGTGTTAGGATAAAATCCGGGCCTCCTTCATACTAGGCAAGTGCTCTACCACTGAGCTACATTCCCAGCTCCAGGAGAGAATTTCAAGAGCAAAATATTGATAATAGTACCCTACGAGCTGAGTGTGGTGGCACATGCCTATAATCCCAGCACTCGGGAGGCTGAGGCAGGAGGATCACTGTGAGTTCGAGACCAGCCTGGGCTACATAGTGAGTTGCAGATCAGTCTCAACTATAGTGAGACCCTGTCTCAAAAAACAAAACAAAACAAAACAAAACAAAAAAAACCCAAAATAGTACCCTAGGAATAGAAAGTGATTTTTTTGGTTCTTCTCCTTATAGATTTTACTTTTGTTTTGGTTTGGTTTGAGACAAGCTTTTGCTATGCAGTTCAGGCCTGTCTTGAATTCACAGCGATCCTCCTGCCTCAGCCTCCCAAGTGCTAGGATTAGAGGCATGTGCCACCACACGCCTTGTAGATTTTAAAGTGTCTTCATTATTTATTTATTAACTTGGCAATTCATGAACTTTCTTTGGAGTTAGGAAAAAACATACAAAGCTTCAATAATAATTCACAGTCTGCCTACAGATATGCTTCATGAGGAGAAATATCATTAATGTCTCCCAGCTTCTAGAATACTATCTGGCACATAAATAAGGTGTCCAGTACATATTTGTTGAATGTATGGTAACATTCTTAGAAGGCAAGAATCTAGTTATTTTGCATCCCTATAGTAAATGCCAAGTTGCTGATTAAAATTAAGGAAATGATTTTTCATTCAGGAACAGAATATGAGACTTTAGGCTACATGTAGCCAGGTGTGGTGGCGCATGTCTATAATCTCAGCACTTCGAGGCCGAGGCAGGAGGGTTGCTGCGAGTGAGTTCAAGGCCAGTCTAGACATAGACATAGTAAAAAAAAAAAAAAAAAAAAAAAAAAAAAAAAAAAAAAAAAAAAAAATCAAATATAATAAATAAAAAAATGTATATACTGGGGCTGGGGATTTAGCACAGTGGTTCTACCACTTGCCTTGCAAGCACAAGGTTCCCAGTTTGATCCCCGGTACAAAAAAAAAAAAAAGAAAAGAAAAAGTGAGATTAAGTGGGTAATATTTGATTCAGAAAGTAGTGCACTGATTTTCCTATATCTCAGGATCATCATTATAAAGATAAAATTTGAAAATTAATTTTATTAGACCCAAGCTAAATTCTGAAAGTTGCTTTTTTTAAAAAAAAAATAAAAATAAAACTTGAGCAATCCACAAAAAACAACATGTCATTAGGTTGGTTTATTTGTTTTTAACTTAGGATCTCACTATGTAGTTCAGGTTGACCTTGAGCTATGTAACACAAGCTGGCCTAGAATTTAAGGTGATCCTCCTGCCTCATCCTCCTGAGTGCTGGGATTACAGATGTGTCCCACCATGTCCAGCTTCAGACTGTTAAATGGAGAAAATTTCTATAAACATAAAAGTATATTTTTAGTATTATGTATATAAGTAAGAAAGAAAAGGAAATTTTATTTTTATTTTTTAGGAAATATTTCTTTATAACATTCTAGATTAGGCCAATGGTAGTATGACATGAATGAGATACTTGCCCTCAAATTAATGTTAAATGTGTAATTTTAAAACTTTAAGGCCAATTACCTGAAAAAAAAATGCAGTGAAAAAGATACTGAAAAATAGAATCTGCATAAAGGCAATATCCAAGTAAATTAGGTTCCTATGCTGAGTAAATGTACAGCAGTTTCTGGAACGAAAGCAGAAGGGAGGAGAGAAATGTATAATTTTGGAAAGCCACTCCAGAAAAAAAGTGCATTTTTTATAAAACACATTTTAATTCTAGTCTTTTAGTATTTATTTGTGTCAGGCTACCTCTTACTGGGTGTTTAGTTTCCTGTACTGAGACTTAGAAAAATTATCTTGTGGTTAGAAAATAGCATATTCTCAAAAGTAATGACTGAAAAGTGTATTCTCTTGCTTGCTATTTTTTACAACAAATTTTACTTTAAAATGAGGGTGAGTTAATCATATTTGAGATGAACTCTTCCTAGTGGAACTGTAGTAATTTATTCATCATGCTTGATAAAGAAAATGGATCAGTTCTTGTAAAGGATTTTACGTAAGTCATTGACAGAAAAAATAGGTCTCAAAATAAGAAGTTGTTTTTGGCTGGGCAAATAGAGCTCAGGAGTAGGGGGCCTGCTTAGCATGGGAGGGGCCCTAGAATCTATCCTCAGCACCGGAAAAAAAAAGTTTTTAGCTATTAAAAAAAAATGAGAATACTGGGTGCCTAATGGGGAAGCTTTCCTAAAACAGAGTGGTTAGAGGAAGGCAGCTGCTCAGATTAGACATGAAAGTAGCCCTAGACTGGCACGTGGGACAGGCCTGTAACCTAAGCACCGGGAAAGCCAAGACAGGAGGATCTTGAGTTAGAGGCCAGCCTGGGCAACCCAGGGAGACATCCCCCAAAACACAACAAAATAAAACAACAGAAAATGGACAACAACCTCAAAAGCACCATCAACACAAGGACTCTCAAGAAAAACGAAAGCCAGAGTGCTGCTAAGGTTGATTTATTAAAATAAAAAGAGCCGGGCGTGGTGGCTCACACCTGTAATCCCAGCACTCGGGAGGCTAAGGCAGGAGGATCGCTGTGAGTTCGAGACCAGCCTGGGCTACATAGTAAGTTCCAGGTCAGCCTCAACTACATAGTGAGACCCCCTGTCTCAAAAAA